TTCCAGCAGATTATTCCCGTTTCAGCCTACAGGTTTGTTTCTTCCCCCCTGCTCCTCCTTTCCTTCCTTCACTCCACCCTTTCCTCTGTCTCTGGCATTGCTTTCCATCCTGAAGCAACCACCATCCCCACAGCCCCTTTCTCACCCTTCTCTTTCACTGTATGCCCCAGACATGACCTCCATGCTCACTCCAAAGAAGGGACTGCTCCAGCACCAAACAGTGACAGAGCTAAGTGCCCAGCCCCACTGCTCTCCGCTGTCCCCTCCACCTCCTGTTTGGACGAGGGCCAGCCAGGCTGTTCCACCTCCGTGCAGGAAGTCACCTTCCATGCCCACCAGCTCCTTGGTGCCAGTAACATCAGTGGGGAGTGAGTGTCTGTCAGGATGCCATGGGATGTTTGACAAGTGGAAGCCGCTGGGCTCCATTTTGGTAACACACAAGCAGGTCTATTGCACAGAAAGAGAAAGGGAAGACTCTGGTCTCCCTCTGTTCCTTTGGTTGGCAAGAGAAGAGATCTGAAAACACCAAATCCAGATCTGAGAGCTAGCAGGTGTCTGCAGTTCTCTCCCCTTCAACCTTGCCACCCTGCTGCCATCACATACAGATTTCCCAGAGGATGAGGGAACTACAACCTCCCTTCTCCATCACATTCCCCTCTTCCCTTAGCTTCAACCTGCAGCAGGCTCCAGGCCAGGGTTTATGACCGAGCTGCTCAGCATGGATGCAGGCACCTCCATCGGGCCTCTCTGATCATACCTCGAGCCTGAAAAAACCCTGCTTCAGCTAGGAGCCAGGAGCTTGCTGCTTTGGATAGGACTCTGCAACCTGGCACCACTCCGCAGACTGGCAAGCTGAGAAACATTGCACTGAAACACGCAGTACCACCGCAAACTACTGCAGTCTCCTTGCAGGAGCCCGTAACTATTCTGGCTGTTGAACTGGAGACACTGGTCTGTTGACTGTTTGCAGGAGGAAGAAGCCGTCTGTCCGTGTCAGAGGCAGGAGGGCAACCTGATCGCTCAGCTCAGAAGGAAGGGCTGGGTGGGGAGCTGGGGCTCTGCACGGAGCAGATCGGTTTCTGCGGAGGTGCAGCCTGCAATGGGGTGAGGGAATGAAAACAATTTGGCAGACATCAAAATCTACAGAGCAGCCGGAAAAAGGAGGAGGAATTGGTATTCACAGCGATCAGGCAAGGAGGAAATGAATATTCAGCCATCCACGGATGAGCAAAAATGCCAGAGGTTGAGATGGGTGAGAGAGCAGG